AAAAAGTGAACATTGACGTCATCACTCAGTTGCGACAGGATGTTTCATGCTAGACGCAATCATCAGGCATTAGTGCTTACGCTCTAGCTCTGATATTGAGCACATTATCCCATAAATATAGAACACCTTAAAACTATATTTCTTCACACACACACACACACACACACACACACACACACACACACACACATATATATATATATATATATATATTATTTCAGGATCATTTTCAAACTTATTCAGGATGATCTTCGCGCAGTAACCTTCTAAGCTTCTGTCCTGGAGAAAAAAGGTGCTTCAGAGATTTCATGTATGATTTCATTTTAAGTCTTTTTTCACAGCTCTTTGGACTTCCATAGCTAAAATACCTCTCTCAAATTCAAAACGTCTTATGAATTGAGTTAGATCTTTTCTAATTGATCCCTTTAGCTCTAAGTTGAAATGATGATCCCTCTTGCTGTTGTGACCTCCTGATCCAGTTTTCCTCTTTACTGTTCCCTCTTTTTTAAACTTATTGACCGTTCTCGGAATGGTTCTTGAATGGACTTTGACGGTGGAAGCCAGAGTATGAATGTTGGTACCATTAATGAACGTCTGAATGATCTTTTTCCTCCCAGTATTGCTCAGTTGGGAAGACAGCAATCCTGACACAAAACGATTTTAATCTGTTCTCTTTTTAGCTGAAAAACTCAAAGGTTTTTTTTCAGTGATTCTTACGACACATGTTATCAAGATGGCTAAACTTATAATCTGAAACTCCGTAGAAAAGAAACTGAATTAGTTTAGGGTATTTAAAAAAAACATTTTGTGGGTTGGACAATTATAGCATGCTGTAACACGATTTGGGCAATTCTGCTGTTACATCAGGCATATATATATATATATATATATATATATATATATATATATATATATATAATTACATGAATCATTCATGCAAAAAACAAATATAGAGGTTAATGATTTAAATGGCGAGAATAAATCTTCGCAAACAATTTCAATACGATACGCCAACCCCGAACCTGTATATGAATGATATGATCCCTGTTTATAAATTCCAGTTTCATAAGGTCTTTTTTAGTTTTTACAAGCTTTCGTCTGTTCCTACAGACATCCTCAGGTATGGAAATAGATTTGTTCTTGTTTTTTACTTCTCGGCAATAAGAGGACAACGAAAATAGAGATGTAATCCGAAAAAATACTATGAGAAATGTGTTATTGTTTTGGAACGTGCGGTCGCAACGCTGAGTTTAAATTTAAATTTTAAGGTTGTGCGTTTTTGTACAAATATAGTAATAAGAGAATTCTTTTGTACTGGTAGATTTTCCGTCAATGTGGCATGAACTATATTGTTCAATAATTACAGTAATGTCACACTTATTATCCGATAGTTGCACGTTGGATCAGTTATTTTAATTTCGATTACAGGTGCAGTTTAATTTATAATTACATGAATCATTCATACAAAAAAATTTTAAAATGGGTATAGATCTATTTCAAACAGCGCTAAGTACGTTGAGCTTCCCTGATGGGTAGGCTATCCATCCAACAGGGTTGAATATAAACTATAAATAACATTTTGAAAAGAAAAGATAACATTAGAAAAATGTCAGAAGACCATGAAGATAAATGGTTTCTGCGTCTCAAAACAGGCTTGAATATAAACAACACCTAATCATAGAACAAATAAATAAAGCAATTTCCACACCTAGAGAAGACACCCTAATGTACAAGATTAAAAATAAATCTAGACGCATTCCTCTAGTAACCACTTTCAACCCCACTCTTCCTCCAATATCCCAGATAATCAACAATCGCTGGGAAATACTACATCTGAAACCAGACCTAAATTTGTTTCTTGAGGAACCCGGTCTTCTAGCATATCGTAGACCTAAGAACCTAAAGGAAATTATGGCTAGTAACCACATTTCAGAGGATAAGGTAATCCGTAATAAACCTAAAACAAAAACAACAGGATTTTCCCAACCATGTAACAACGAAAGCAGCTTATGCTGTAACCACATTAGACGCAACAATTCGTTTACTAGTTCGGTCACTAAATCTACTTTCAAAATCTACCCTAACTATAGAAGTCATAACATAATTTACCTCCCAGAATGTACACTATCCCAGAAACAATATCTGGGGAAATCTGAATGGCATTTTCACTATAGAAATAATAATTATCCCAGTCGAATTAAGTCTGTTCCACATGAAATATTATTACCTTTAGAACACCATTTCAGCCTAGAAAAACGGGATTTAAAAAGCCATGCCAAATTCACTATAATTGAAAAAATAGAAAAGTACAGAAAAGATGACATTAAAATTTTTTAGAGGAACATGAAGATAAATGAATTTTGCGCCTCAAAAGACACCACCCAGACGGACCTAATCACAAATTTAACAACATAGATAGAATTAATATATAACCTCATAAATCAAGCCCTAAACACATTTCTCGCCCACCCAAGAGAGACGTGCTGGCGGAGGTGTTGAAGTCTCACATGTATACACATATACTAATATATGCACGTACACACATCATAATCACTGACTCTAAATGATAACACACATTAACACATACACATCCTTTTTCCAAGAACCAATAAAACTGTCAACATGGCCAAGGCAATTCAGAGAAGGATGAAGCTATCCAGCCACTATCTTATAAACAACTTAAATGAGACCTAAACAAGGACTGACGAAAATTTACGATAAAAAATAAAATAAAATAGATAATAAAAAAACGAATGAAAACCATAGATAAAGTTTATTTTTTTCATGAAGTCATTCATTCCTGTAATTCACTGCTACTAACAAGCAGAATTGTTCCTCCTGATGATGACCATGCTAGTCGAAACTATTCGAGAAAACTAATTGAAATAATAAAAAAAATAATAATATACAACCCAGTGTGTCCGAAAATTTTAATCTTTTAATTTCTCAATATTTTTCTTGTTCAAAACAATATATATATATATATATATATATATATATATATATATATAAAACGGACAAGAAAATTTTATTACCCCACCCCACCATATGGCTATCGAAGTGGCAGAAAGCTCCTTGGAACAATACAAGGTATCGCCAGTTTTTGTACTCCGTCACTCGCATCAAACAGAAACATGTAAGAACGCTGGAAAAACTAAATAAAAAATAATAAGATTTGATCATATTTTACGAAAGATGTTTAAAAGAAGGTTTACTTCCCAAATATGCATTAATCATATATATATATATATATATATATATATATATATATATATATATATATATATATATATTAAGAGTGAGAAGGAGATAGGTAGATAGATAAATAAATGAGCATCCAATGCTATTAATCGTTCCAATAAATGTTTCAAGCTGCGTGCAATCATCAATGTTGACAATTGATTTAAATAATTTATTGAATATATTATTTACTGGAATAAAGCTGTGTTTATATTTCGAGCTAGTCTCTGGAAATTTTCGATATCATATCTCATTAATTTTCCTTAGCTATAATTTACTCTCCTTTTTATGAAACAGCAAGTTTGTTTGGTGGCCATGTTGATTAAAAAAAACAAAACAAAAAAAAAAACACTCTTGTTCAATCCAACAAGCATAAACCAATTATGGCAGATACTGAAGATGAAGTGTCCTATCGACTAATTGACCTCCCGACAAATTGACCGGCGACCCATTGTCCTAATACCGATTACTGTTTATCAAGCTAGCCTTGCAGACAACTCATGTAATGTATTTCTTTCTCCATTCTATTATCTGTACTTCGAAGATTGATTACTAAGTAATATGTAATGAAAAATAAAAGTTACACTAATATTGTTTTCCAAAAATCAAATTAGTATCGATTTAGATGGCCTAAACCTGCACATACTTGGCCAGTAGGGCATTTATGAAAGGCAAGTTCTGTTAGGTTGAATTATAAGTATTTTTAATTTTGAGGAAATAATTTTAATAGCTTGAAGATTAAAATTCATAAACAAAAACGGAAATTACTTATCATTCAACCTAAAAATTAAAAGTAAATATAAAACTCCATAGCTCCTTCAATACAAAAATAGAAAGAAAGAAAAACGAGGCAAAGGAATATCGAGTTTATTTAGAAGCCAACTAACATAATGACAACTGCAGAAGAAATACCCTACATCAAAACAAAAGTATTATAATCTTGGTGTAACTTGGGTTATAAAACGGATAAAAATATTCAATATCGAAACAAATATATAGTATAATTCCATTATAATCTTCCCAACCAATCAAGGCAATAAAGCCATAAACACAAAGGCAGTTAACGAGTATGAGAGATTACCGTTAAAAAACATGTTTAAGATTTTAATATATAGTTATGCATAATGTATTATGCATATAGTTGTGTATAATGTATTATGTATATAGTTGTGTCTAATGTATTATGTATATAGTTGTGTATAATGTATTATGTATATAGTTGTGTCTAATGTATTATGTATATAGTTGTGTATGTTATAATGTAAGAAGAGCAATTAATAAGACAGAAGATAACGATTAACATTGCATGTAAGTTTTTGAAGATCAAAGTTGACTGGTAAGCAAGAAGCCGGAATAGAGTTCCACAAATGAGAAGTGCGATGACAAAAAATGTTAACATATGGATACTTCTAGCCATTTCAACTGTAAATTGATGAGACATAGCTGCCAATCTAGTACTACGCTCATGATTATTTGTTCTTTCTTTTACGGTTAATCAACATTTTGCATTTTGTTTAAAGTCACAAATCTATTTAGATTGTAAAAATGTTTTTCTTTTTTAGGGTGTGTGTGTGCGTGTAAACATTAATGATTTACTGATACAGGTCCTACAAATTAGCCTATAGCTGTGTGGGTAGATGTGGATTCATGCCTTTCTCAAGGGCATTTCCGCGTAAGCGAATATAACGAACCAATCGGGAATTGCAAATTGATTAAGAATTCCGTACCATGATCCATTACGTTACCCGTACATCCAATGTTACAGCACCTGGTATTTCCTAGTAGTCACCGATTTGGGTACCGACCAGGCTCAACGTTGCTTAACTTCGGTGAGCGCATGTGAACTGGTGTTTCATAAGTGTATACAATATAAACAATTAACTGTAGAAGACATGGCGAATCTTTGTAGTTGCCGGTTAACTTTTGGTACTTTAAAATTTTTCATAAAAATAAATAGGTCACTCCTATACTTACCGATGTTTTTATTTAATGTGAAACTTGTCGCAGCATGTTAGTTGCTAATGTTTTAATTCGAAGTTGTCTTCAGCTCACTGCAATTTATTTTTGCTTTTATTTGGTTTGTTTTGTTTTACGGCATATCAACCTCAATGTGTTATTTAATGCCAACAAATTTTTTTTGCCGGTAATATATTTTTCCTTCATAAATCTATTTTTGGTAATATTTTTTTCTTCAAAAATGTATTGCTGGCAATAATTAAAAAAAAAAACTATTTCTAGTATTAAAATCTATTTTTACACTTTCATAGTGTTTTGACCCCAGTTTGGAGATTAACTATTTGCCCATAGCTGGGACCCTAACATGTGCTACCATCCCGGGTCAGGGTGGACCTGGGAACACAAACAAGTAAGAGGTGGTTCCACGCTCTTTAAAATTCCTGATCAGAGGCCTTGCTGTTGGGCATAGTTTATTATCTTGCCCTGGATGCGGACGTAGTTTATCGTCTTGCCCAGGACGCTCATTGTATGTATTCCTCATATCCATAACAATGCGATTCCTGTTGGTAGATTTTATATATTTCATGGATGAAATCAACGTTTCACTTGAGAAGGAAGAACAAAAAAACAATTAGCATTGCTAAGGCCAACCTTTTTATGAATACAAAAGTGTTCGGCTAGAACTGCCACTCTGCAATAATAAGGTTATCAGCTCTGTTTTCTAAGGATTCATTTTCGTTTGTTACATAACCACATGATTTTACCTTATTTTCTTGTTACTTTAGGTTATGGTCGATAAAACTAGTCTTGGTTGGCAACCAGTCTAGGAGAAGGATAATTTCGTCACAACATTTGCCATAGAAATAGCGATAAATTATTGAGCGGTCCTCAGTATTTTCGGTGTTGAAATCATAAAAGCCGGTTGAGCAAGAGGCTGGCTTCAAACCGGGCCCCTAAAAGAGTCTATTTGCTACGTTAACGACTGCAGAACACCATCGCTATATTAGAAAGACTCGTCTATATTATGCCATTTGACCAGTGAGCTAATACCCGTCAATACGTTTCACTACTCCTGGTTGGTTCAAAAGTGGTCATTCATGATTAATAATAACAAATATTTCAGTTGTTTTCTTTCAGATCTCTTGATAATATTTCGAAACCTTTAATAAACCCGAACATCTAAACTACTATCTTCAATTTTTTTATTCAAGTTATTGTAAGGAACTGCGAATTTTGGCAATATATATATATATATATATATATATATATATATATATATATATATATATATATATAGTTTATGAAAAACTAGGTAATCCGTATGGGTAAACATAAGGAGGATAAAATCCAGAGAGCTCAATGTAAATCCGGAGCAAATAATTTAAATAAAAACAGACCACTTTAAGGTTCCATGTAATAAATTATTTCACCACAGCCATTTAAAAGGACTGCGGATCATCAGACTTTACTTCCAAACAAAAAATGAAAAGAAAATTTACACATTTTTGACGGCCCGTATTAAACATATGTAAATTAACGAAGTGAGGAAGTGAGGGGGGAGATTGAAGACATGAGTGAGTTGGCAGATATTGACGCATTTAAACGGTTAACTTAACGGAAGTTATATATTGATATCGAAAGGGTAGAGAAGAAAAAACTATAGAGAAAAAAAAGGACTGTGGTGAAATAATTTATTATATGGAAACATAAAGTGATCTGTTTTTCTTTAATATATATATATATATATATATATATATATGTATATGATATAAATTATTAGGACGATTTGAGATAATTATATTTAATTTATCGAGTCTAGAAAAAACCTCAAGAGAAAGCACTGGACGGCGTTTTCGTCCTATATTTGCTACTCATCAGCAGTGCTCATTCACTATCTAGAATTGAAACCCGGACAGTTACGTAATCAGGCAAACGTCATACCAACTGTTCCGAAATAATGAACAAATGATGACAATTATTTCAGCTGTTTTCTTCCAGATCTCTTGAAAATATTTCAAGTATACTTTCAAAACCTTTAATATACCCAAACATCGAAGCGATTATCTCTCTCTCTCTCTCTCTCTCTCTATATATATATATATATATATATATATATATATATATATATATATATGTGTGTGTGTGTGTGTGTGTGTGTGTGTGTGTGTGTGTGTGTGATAGAAATTATTAGGAGGATTTGACATAATTATAATTAATTCATTAAGTCTAGAAAAAAACAGAAAGTACTGGACGGCCTTTTTGTCCTATATTTGGGACTCATCAGGAGTGCTCTTCCACTACCGAGAATTGAAACACGGAAAGTTACGACATGAGGCAAACGTCATGCCAAGTGTTCCAACGGGCCTCGGTGACGAAGAGGTAGCGAATTAGACTCGATATAGTGCCGCTCGATCACATATTCTGTGGTTGAACTCATCCGAGTTTCCCTTACCCATAGCGCTGTGCCTCCACGAGCCACGAATACTATCCCCAAGCCGCTCCACCCAGAGCATTAGAAACCTGTTCAAGCAAGTGTATCCAAGTGATAGAAATTATTAGGAGGATTTAAGATAATTATAATTAAGCAATTAAGTCTAGAAGAAACCACAACAGAATGCAGAAAGTACTGAACGGCCGCTTCATTCTATATTTGGCACTCATCAGCAGTGCGCATCCACTACCGAGAATTGAAACCCAGACAGTTTACGTTATTAGTCTTCATTCATCTTGCAACATCGCAAATCGATTAACCCTCTGACATTATTTTACATGAGCAATCCAGAAAATCGACTCGTTAATGTCCGTTAATGTCATTAAATAACGTCGTGAATTGACGTTTATTAGTTGCATGGCCAGCTATAAATTCATAATTTTATTCCAAGCAACGTGGCGTTACAAGGAACATAACATTTCTAGTAATTTGAAACTAGTTTTTGAGTACAGATTCTTGATGACAAAATGCAATGATATTCAACTAAATTGTCATTTGCTTCTTTTTTTTCTATAATTACACAAATCCAGCTCTTTCCAATCATGCTTAGAGCGCGATGTATTGTCAAAGATTTCCCAAATTAATGACAAGTATAATAAATTCCTTCTTCAATTCAACCATAATATCTTGCCCTCTAGTTTTCTCAGAAAGTGTCATCAATTTGATCTGTTCTTTCTCCCTTATATTGCCGGAAGGAAATCTTCCAATAACTGCTAAAGGAACAATTGGCGTTATTTTTGTACTTCTATCCAGGCATATTAAAAACATATCTGCGTTATTCATATCTAGTTCGAAAAGATCTGTTATGTCTTTGTCCATATAAATTATTTTCTCTTTGACCATATTTCTAAGGACTCATTAATTCTTTTGAAGTTTCTTATCTTTATTTTAAAAGTCTCCAAACAAATAAATCTGAGCAGTTCAAAAGGCCTCTTTTAAATAACAGCCCTCAGAGATTGGCTTCTCGTACTTAGCGATTGTAGAGGATAACTGAAAACTAACGGCAGAAATATTGTTCTTGTTTTTTTTTGTTTTGCTTTAAACATCATTTTGAAATTATTACATTGTTGTTTCTGTTGCTTGACGTCTTTCTGAAAAATTTAATTTCTTTCTTCATCTGTCACTGAGTATCAATTCTGATGATTGCTTTCATAATGGCGTTCAATGAGCGTGCAATAATTGACACCTTGTATATATAGGAAAACCTTTTATTAAGTTTCTCAATAAAACCATATTTTCCCCCTCAACACTTCGTGAAAAGGCCTCCCATTTCCACTGAGTTTATTTTCCTTTTCTGTGTGTACATTCTTATGGCTTACTTTTACAATCCAAAAGGAACTATGAAAATGAATTCAGAAGAGAAACAATTTTAATTTATCCAAGCAGACGCTTAAAATAGATGAGATTACGACTGATAAAATGCAAAGAGAGAAAAAAATCATACACTACTAAAATAAGCCAATTTATAAAACTGCCTTAGTATCAGATAGGTGTGTTTAGGTATACACAAGGCGCAAAAAAATTACAGAAATCGCTAAATATCATGTCATTATTTCACCAAAAAGTAGATGGTGGATCAATTCATGACCCGTTGCTCAGTGATTCGCCATTGCTTAAACCAATTCACAGTGAAAACAAGATGAAACAGATGACAGTGGATAGAAATACACTAAGAATTGTGCCAGTGAATTCGGCTCACCTATATTTCGGTTTGCTCTGTTTAAGAGCATATCTACCCCTTATGAGCCATTTAATCCAGAAATTTAATTTCCTTGGGTACATTGGTATGTATTTTACTATTAAAAACTTTTTTTGGTAGTATTTTATTTTTACTATCTATTTCTGGAAACTTTTACTATAAAAATGGTATCTTTATATTTTCATAGTGATTTGAACCCAGGTGAGAGTTCACTATTTGTTCATAATTGGGGCCCTGATAGGTGCTACCGCCCATGTTCAGGATGGACCTGGGAACGACAGCAATTAAGAGGTGTGGTTTCACGCATCTGAAAACTTCCTGATCAGAAGCTTTGCCACCGGATGTAGTTTATCGTCATACCCAGGATGTGGCTCACCTGTGTAAACCAGTGCTATGCGTATAATCCTGAAGTTATTCAAAATAATTAAAAGAATAGAATTTTCTAAGAATTTGAGGTTGAAACGAACCGGAAAGCCTAATCGCAAAAACCAAACCCTTTTTATTTAAATGAAACGAGATAAATGATTTCATAAAATGATACATGATTTAAATATTCGCATTCGTTTTATATTCCTTTTCAGATACTGAATAAGTTTCCGATTCCAATATAGCATGTGTTATTCATATTATATCTATATTTATACCTATATATTTATATATGTATATCTGTATCTATATATTTATATATTATATATTTTTATATATTTATA